ATAAATAATAGTTTATAAAAATAAACCTTTAGAATATCAGGTGTTGTGATTCAAAAGTCGATAAATGGGCCTTTGAGAAGGCCAAAATACTCAGGTGTCAACTTGTTCATTGTGATTTTAAACCTAGTTTGGTCACAAATTAAAACATTTTCAACGATGGTATGTAATTCAAGGATTCATATTAATTTAGGTTCTCGAAACCATAAAATATTGAACAAAATCTATATAGAACTTTATAATAAGGACAATAATCACCGTAATCAGGAAGTCAATGTGATGAAACTTGATATTAAGGACCAATGATGAAAAATGTTTCATTTTTAGACTAAACAAGATGAAAAATATATAAACTACCTTAATCATGTCAAATCTTGTGTTTAACCGTTCTTTATTGCAAAAGTAAGATGCCAAAATATACAAACTAATGATAATACAATGCTCAAACTGGCCCTCTTGATTGAGTTCTTTGAACCTGCAAAGTTAACACATTAAAGAAACATAGTAAAAACCTTTTTAGGAACAAACCTGATATAATAAGGTCTTCATCCAATATATTTATAAGATAAAAATACAAAAAGTTAAAAATGATGAAATCAATTATAAGTAAGGATTAAAATAAAAACCTGTTAAGAAAGAGTCATCTGCAGGAGGGATATTTGAATCAACATGTATTTTCTGATGGTTTCAAATTTTGAATTATTCGAAATTCAGGGAAGGAGATAGATTTTGTTGAGAAATATAAGGATTCAAAACACAGGTTAAAATTTAATATTATTCTATTGATGACTACTTGTACTATTAGCTTAATGATTTGAACGTCTTAAAATAAATAATATTATTATATTCAATCTATTTTTAGAAATAGTGAGATTTCTTTTATAAGATAGTAAATATATATATATATATATATATATATATATATATATATATATATATATATATATATATATATATATATATATATATTGTGTTATAAATGTTTATTAGTTGGCATCCAAAATAAAAATAGTTATTATGACTTAAGGCGGTAACAAAGGGAAAAAATTAATATTTTTGAGCTATTTATCTATTAAAGCTAAATAATGATATTTAAATATTGACAAATGTTACAAAAATATATAAAACCACTTATTTGGTATGTTGTAGTTTAATCATTGTTTAAGTATATGATTAATCTGTTCTAAACATACAAACAACCTTGTATATATATATATATATATATATATATATATATATATATATATATATATATATATATATATATATATATATATATATATATATATATATATATATATATATATATATCTTCGATGTAAATCTTTGATCTTAGCTAGGACATGAAAACTATGTGGAATTAGGAATTATGACATTAGAATTAGGGAAAGAGAAATTAAATATCGTTAAAATCACAAATATTTAATTAGAATTATGTGGAAGGAGTATATTTAATTTCTCTTAAGGAAATCCTTAAAATCACAAACCCCGCCTACTTTTGATGCAGATGCTCAGCACACAATATACTCGCACCTGTGTGAACGCAATCCAAAAAATCAAATGCAAAAAGCCAAAATTTTCACAACAAACGCCCTCCTCATTTCTCTCTCTAAAACCCCATTAAACGTTCTCTCTATCTCTCTCTAAACCTTGCCACCTCAATTTCAGTCACCTCTTTATTAAATTCCCAGCTCATATTTTGCACAATCTTCTTCTTATCGGATATAAACGATACGCTGAAATCGAATCGTTCTACAAGTTCGCGTCATTGTTCTTTAGCTTGTAAGGTAAAAATTTGATATTTTCAAACGGAATTTCTGCATTCGGATTTTTTAAGATCGTGTTTATTCGGTTTTAGTGTATTGCGTCGATTGAGCCAAGTGTAGGGTTTGATTCTTGACGGTTTTGGTTTGTAATTTGTGTTCATATGATGCCGATTTTATAAGTAGATGCGGTTTGATTGTTTGATTCAAATATGCATTGGTGTATGTGACGGTGAAGCGGTTCTAGCGTCTGATTGTTGTTGAATTTGTGTTATTTTGTGCATGAATTGTACTAATTAGATTTTGTGAATTTGCAAAAATCTGAGACCAATTCTAGCATTTACTTGTTCTTAAATTCGGGTTGTTTTAATTTGTGTGCTGGAATTTTGCTTAGATTCTTGTGGATGTAAAACAACGGTGCTTAGATTCTTGTGAATCTGAAAGAATCGGAGGTCAATTGCTTTCCTAGAAAGTTGATTTTATGCTATGATGGTCAATGAATTGTAGCTAGTTGTTGATTTTTCCTCATCATCTGTTGCAATAAAATTGATAAGCTATCTGATTTGGAGTAGCACATAATCACTTTCAGGAGACACATCTGAAGATAACCTTGATTCTAATTAATTCCAGTTTGATTTTGTAGGGTTTATCACCTTCAGATTGAAATTAAACAGGTCCATATATAATGTGGGAGAAATCAAGAAACAATTCCATTTCTGTTGGGGATCCAACTGAAAACCGTAAAAGAAAACATGATTCAACCGAACCATTAAACCAAACCGAAGTACAAAAACGACCAAAGCGTGACGTGAGACGTCCCTCTTCATTGCATGATTTTTACGTAGAGCCTTCCCGAAAACTAACCCGTAAACGCAAACCCCCTAAAATTAGAAAAAGTGGAGTTTGCAAGATCAATGCAAGTGGTAATAACTTCAATGAAGATATATGCGACGTATGTGGTGGTGGTGATGGTGAACTAGTTGGTTGCCATGGTTGCGCTGCAAGATTCCATTTGAGTTGCCTTCAAATCCAAGTAATATATATATATGTCTTTTTTTTTTCGTTTTCTTTGACTCTTTATATTAATTACATTTAGATGTATTTATTTATAATTAATTAATGTTTTTAATTTGTGCATTTTAGAATTTACCTTCCGAACTATGGTACTGTATCTACTGTTCTTGCAAATTTTGTGGAGATGGGGCACACATTTGCTGGAATTGTGATTGGATATTGTCATGTTCCTTATGTGACGACAGATGTATGTAATCAGGATTCGATTCCTTTCCATTTTGGTTACAGAATCTGCAGATGAATCTTGCTAATCATGTGCGTGTGTTTGTTATAGTCCATAAAACGTGCGGAGACAGGAACGGTGCAAAAATAGAGTCTGATGATCTAGCTTTATGTGGAAAGACATGTCATGAGGTAGAAACCTAAAATGATATATGTCATTCCAAATTGAACAATAAAAACTACTCATCTGGTTCTGTTTGTTTTTTTGGTTATATGTGACTAACCTTTTGTTTGTTGATATATAGATTTATGAGGCTCTTCAGGCCATACTTGGAGTAAAAATTGAAGTCGGTGAAGGATTTTCCGTCAGACTTCTCAAGCACGTTGATGCGAGCGAGGATCTTGAAACTGATGCCATAAAGATCAAATGCAATAGCAAACTGGCTGTTGCACTTTCGGTTATGAAGGAATGTTTCCTTCCGGTTATTGACCGCAGAACTAGAGTTGACATGATCCCTAATTTGGTATACAACTGCGGGTAATTTCATGTCTCGTTAAATCAATTATCCCTCATAACACCAAACACTTTTTCAAAAGTACCCACAAACATATATATATATATCAACAACACTTTTTGAAAGTCCTATATATCGGTATCGCTATAAGATACGTACGGGCGATAAATGTTGTTGGAAATCATCCCTTCCTTTAAACCCGCAGCTATCGACTCTCACGTCATTTACACAGCAACCAGGAAATATGTTTTAGTCTACACTATTTATAAATTAACAAAACAATTAAACTCTTAAACAAATAATTGTGGTAATTAAATAAATGCTTGCTAGCTGACCTATGTATAATCTCCACTTCATATTTAGGGCAAACAAGTAACTGTCCATGACCCATCAAGATTATCCAACAAATGCTACCGCTAACACATATATATATATATATATATATATATATATATATATATATATATATATATATATATATATATATATATATATATATATGTATTATATATATGAGTATCATAAGACAGACCTGCATGAAGCAACGGGGTGTTGGCTAAAAAAAATGCTTTTTGTATTGTAAAAGGAATAAAAACTTAATACCTGTTATGATAGGGTGTTGAAAATCCTGAATCACTTCCTAAAATTAAAAAAATACAATCTTTGAGATCATCATTGACAAAGACAAAGCAGGTAACATAATTGCGTTTAGGGCCTCATCTACTGAAAACATTTCAGGTCAAACTACAAACCACTGAATCATGGTGGTTTCTTCACTGCAGTCATGGAGAAGGATGATGAAGTGATATCCGTAGCATCGATAAGGTTATTTCTCTAATTCATTTCTATAAATCATCAAGACAGGAGGTAGCTAGTACGTAGGTGTCATTTGAAGGGTATATATCCTAACAGATATTTTATTTGTATATATGTGTTGATCACGTCAGGGTTCATGGGAAGAAGCTTGCAGAAATGCCTTTTATCGGCACACGTAAAATCTATAGGCGGCAAGGAATGTGTCGCCGCCTACTAAATTGGGTTCAATACGTACGTTTCCATATCTTTCAATCAAAGTTACATTTATACCGGAATTTATTTCTCATTTTGCAATTAACATATGCTGAGTAAATTAAATTTTCAGCCTAATAAAGTTGTAACAAAGACTGAAATTCCAGGTTCTCTCTTTTCTTGGTGTCGAGGAGCTGGTCATTCCTGCCATTCCTAATCTTATAGAAACATGGACAAGAGTTTTCGGATTCAAGCCGCTTGAAGAATCAACAAGGCAGAACATGAAATCCATGAGCATCGTAGTCCTTCCAGGAACTTATATGCTTCAGAAACATATTCCCCCAAAACCAGTCCACCAATAGGAAGCTTGGAAGAGTTACAGGTATTTTTTTTTTTCTGTCCTTTGAAAAATTCAAAACTTGATTTGACAGATTGAGTTTTATGACAGAATCAAATTATTTGAGAAGACCACAAAACTATATATTGTCTTGACAACGGCCGAGATTGAGTTTGGAACACACTCTGATTTAACATGTTAGTGTATCTGATGTTGCGACATGATTTGATCCTATAAGTGTTTGTTGGAGTCTCCTTCTCTTCATAAGTCATTTTTTGGAGAGACAATCTTTGATTCTACAAATTAATATCTTACAAACATATAACTTATATGTGAAATATCTAAAACAGCATCAAATAAGTAGGTAATTTTGACATCGAAACAACCCAAGATAGTAACGGTATTTGTTTCCTTTAACGTTTTATTACCACTAGAAAGACAGCCACAAGTTGGGGCTTGCCTACTTAGCTAACAAAGTGTTTCTAACAAGGAGGTGAAAGATCTTTTTTTTGTCTTTTATGTATGCATGCAAGTGTTTGATATAGGATTAAGTCATTTTGATGCTAAATTTTCATGATTCGTGCGTAAGGTTATCCTTCAAAATATCGAGTTGACTGGCGATTAACTCAGGGTTTGGCTACTCTCCTTGCAGGAAAGCTTTGTAAAGCTGTACAAGTTACTTTATTTCAAGTGGAGACTACACAATCCATTCATGACGGTAAATAACTGTATTTTTATAGATTTTACCGGTTATAAATGAATCTTTTTATAAGTTTGACAAGAGTTGACAAAAGTTTTTTTTTTTTTTTTGGATGGTAACTTTCTTATATATGCTTGGTGGATCTTTGGATACCTGTAGAATTATTTTGCTTTCCAAAAAATTTCCCGTGGTGATGTTTGGGTATTTTATTTAACTTGTTGAGTTATTTCTAAGGACGAATTGCATTCAAATAGCAGTCCACTTATCTTTATTTATTCTTAGGACTAATTTTGCTCGGTTATCTAGAATAACAACTACCTTATATGTTTTACCAACTAATGGCTTTCAGTGAGGGTGAATGGAGAAGATAAAGGGTAATGTGTTATGTAATGTGTTAAACCTTTTATTCCGATAAATTTAAATTAAATGAAAGATACTAAAACATATTGAACGGTTCGATAGTGAAATGGAGGCCCTCAATCCTCATAAACCCATGTTTTAATTAAAAAGTTAAATAAATGATAATAGTTTAAAATTTTAATTAAACTAGTGTAAATATTAAAAAAAAAAATTATATTATGTGATTAAAAAAAGTTTTTTTTTTTTTTTTTTTTTTTTTTTTTTAGAAAAGTTACTACATTTTCACCATTTTTACTGAAAACCCATTATTTTTTTGCATTAAAACTACTCTTATTTCTAAAAAAATTCAAAATGCCATTCATGTTATTATTTTTTTCGACATACATCATTTTCAAAAAAAAAAAAAAAAAACTTTTTTAGAACATACCACTAGGGTGAGATTGACTTGGTTTTTCACTAAAACAAAACCGAGTAAAAAATTTCGCTCGTTGACTTCAAAAACACCGAATCATTGAAGTTTTCAATTTTATTTTTGTTTTTTCATGTGTATCTCCATAAAAAAATGTTGCTAAAATTTAATTAAATGTGGAATTTCCTATAACATAATACAAGATAAGACCAACATATACATTGAATAACATTATTGTCAAAGATCTCAAAAAGACCCTAGAAAAGAAATTCCATTGAGCGGATACTAATTTTTTTCTAATTTGAACGTTGATTTCTCCTCCAATGAAACCCATATCCATGATCATCTGCAAAATAAAATTCTATCTTGCCATCAACAACCTTAGCAGAGGAAATGGCACGATGTAACGAAGAAAAATAAACATTTTTGTACAACGACATTGCATAGAACAAATTCAAATCCTTGACGTATTAAAAAAAATGATCTCCACCTTCACATTCAGTTGAATTTTGTCAATTGTAGCACTGCATGGTACAATATTAGTAAACAACAGGTTTTACCAACATTGATGTTGGAGAGTACTCCCTTGTTTTTGATTGAGTGTCTTGTTCCATATAATGAATATGAATAGAGGATTTGTAACATCCCAAAAATACGGACCAAAAATTTCATTTTGAATTAAACGATTTGAACAAAAAATCGTTTGTAACATAATATCACACTATCATAATATTTGATAAAACATGTCTCGTGGCCATAAACGAAAACATAAAACATGAAAATGTCAGAGTACAAAATCTCAGAATGACTCTTGATGCGGAAATCAAAAGAGTGTGTGTGATGTGCCACTACCGCGCCAACTCCTTCCCCTTGACAGAAGAGGTACCTGAAACAACAACTGAAAATCGTAAGCGCGAAGCTTAGTGAGTTCCCCCACTGTACCACATACCAATATAATCACATAGCATTCATACTACCAGGCAATTCTGGGGTGCCCGACCTTACCCGGTACGGCCATTCTGGGGTGCCGACCTACCCGTGTCAAGCCATTCTGGGGTGCTGACTACCCATTTCAAGTCGTTCTGGGGTGCTGACTACCCTTCGGTCCTAACAACCGAACTTCGGGGCCTATTTCACCCCCTACTACTACTATCGCATATAACATAACTTAAACATATTACCAGACATATATAGGGTGCCTGAGCTACCCTTCGGTCCTAACAACCGAACTCTACTACTGTCACATACAACATATCATGCTAGCATATAACATATCAGGTAGCAGCAAACTAGATGATATCACAAAGACAATCATCTATCATACATCTCCTACTAGTGGGCCAACATTGTGGCCTTAGACCCATAACTACTGGAAGGTAACTCACCTCGAAAGTAGCTGCTGAAATCTGCTTGTTGAGCGCCTGACTGCTGAATCGCAAATCCTCCAGCTATAAATCATAAACATAGGTTAGACACCCATAAATACCCTTAGGTCAAAAGACTGACCCTCCTTTGGTCCAAGGTCAACTCCTTGGTCAAAGTCAACGTCCATTTGACTGGACTCGCCGAGTCACGGCATAGACTCGCCGAGTCCTTCTCCTATTAACCCGGTCCTACTCGACCATTCCTTCTTCCCACTCACTGAATCACCCTTAACTCATTACTTGGGACGATTCACCCGACTCGCCGAGTTTAAAGAACAACTCGCCAAGTTCCAGGCAATCTTCATAGGACTCGCCGAGTTGTTCATCCAACTCGCCGAGTTTAAGGCCATCTTCATGGAACTCGCCAAGTTCCTCCTTGGGACTTGCCGAGTCCTAATACCCATTTCCCATATAGGCCAAATCTGAGACATTCAATGCTTCAAAACCACAGATCCATGTTCCTTGAGCATGCTTATCACGTAAAGTTGCAAACTTTACGTGCATGCATGGCCCTATAAGCTCATAAGGCCAAAACCAAACTCTTAATGAGGTCATACACTCAATGGGGACCTCAATCACTTCAACCACATAATTTTATGCTTCTAATTTATCCAATAAGTCTAGATCTGAAGTCCTTTCGGATCATTAAGCCCAACACATGGAGTTTGGTGTTGTAGGGCTTGAAAACCACCAAATTGGGACAAAATGGTAACTAATGACCTAAAGATCAAGGTAGGGACTTTTCTACCTGAATGGAAGCTTCTCCATGAGTAGAGTTCGGATCTACTCCTTTCATTACACTCTTCAACCACCTCTTTCTTCTTCTAAGCTCCAAACCTCCTTCACAAAGCCAACAACACTCTCAAGAACAATATGGGGGCTAGGGTTTCGCTCTACTGCTCTCTGGAAGTGTTAGGGACAAAGGAGGCCAAGTTAGAGCATTTAAATAGGTGCAAACACCAGGATTAGGGTTTTTGCCCAAACAGGATCTACTCGTCGAGTCCGGGGACCGACTCGCCGAGTCCAAGGTCCAATTCTCGCGCCTTATCCCACTCCTACTCGGCGAATTGGCCCATCAACTCGCCGAGTCCAAAGCAAAATGCATTATTTTAAAAATGTAAATAGCAAGGAGTACGTACCGGGAACCAGGTGCTACAAATCTCCCCACTTATGTTAGACTTCGTCCTCAAAGTCTGCTGCTCGATCCTGAAATAGCTCGGGGTAGTGCTCCATCATCTCTTCCACCGGCTCCCAAGTCCACTCCGAACCCTTCCAGTGCTGCCATTGCACCTTCACGAGTTCCACCCTTTTGTTCCTCAGGTCCTTCGACTTCATGTCGAGGATTGCCATAGGCCGCTCGATGTAATTCAGGCTGTCGTCGACCTGAATATCCTCCAAAGGCACCACTGCCGAGTCGTCCACCAAACACTTCCGCAACTGAGAGATGTGGAAAGTGCTGTGGATCTGGCTGAGTTCGGCTGGTAGATCCAGCCTATACGCCACCTTGCCCACCCGGGCTACAACCCTGAATAGCCCGATGTACCTTGGGCCTAACTTACCCCTCTTTCTAAATCGGATGACGCATTTCCATGGTGATACTTTCAGAAGAACCATATCCCCGACTTGGAATTCCAAGTCTGAACGGCTCTTGTCGGCGTAACTTTTCTGCCGACTCTGAGTAGTCTGAAGCCTGCTCCGGACCTGCTGAATCTTCTTTGTTGTCTGGAGCATCACTTCGGTGCTTCCCATGACCCTCTGGCCAACCTCTCCCCAACATATCGGGGTCCTGCATCTCCGTCCGTACAACATCTCGAAGGGAGGACGGTCAATACTCGTGTGGTAGTTGTTGTTGTATGAGAGCTCAGCTAAAGGAAGATAGGTATCCCAACTACCACTGAAATCTAGCACGCATGCCCGCAACATATCCTCAAGAGTCTGGATGGTCCCTTCACTCTGACCATCCGTCTGCGGGTGGAAGGCAGTGCCAAAATGCAGACGAGTGCCCAACTCGTCATGAAACTTCTTCCAAAACCTGGAAGTAAAACACACATCTCTGTCTGAAATCATTGATACTGGTACCCCGTGCCGCGCCACTATCCCCTTTATATAGATATCAGCCAACTTCTCGGCCGAGATGCTCTCCTGAATCGGAATAAAATGGGCGCTCTTGGTCAATCGTTCCACGATGACCCATATAGAATCCACTCCTCGCGCGGTCCTGGGAAGCTTTGTGATAAAATCCATCGTAATATCTTCCCATTTCCACAACGGGATATCCAACGGCTGCATCTTGTTGTGCAGTCTCTGATGCTTGGCCTTGACCTTCCTGCAGGTCAAGCACCGTTCGACGTACCAAGCCACATCCCGCTTCATGCAGGGCCACCAATAGTCCAGATGAAGATCCCTATACATCTTCGTCAGCCCGGGATGAATGGAGAATCGGGATTTGTGCGCCTCCTCCATCAAGATCTGGCGCATGCCTCTGAGGTATGGCACCCATACCCTGCGGTGTAATGTCAATAATCCCCTGCTATCATAGTCAAAGGAGGAAACTTGACCCACTATGCGCTCACTCTTCTGATGTTCCTCCTTCAGGGCCTCCTGCTGGGCCTCCCGAATCCGCTCCAAAAGCAGAGTCACCACTGTCATCCGCATGCAAATATCCTTGATCGGCGCCGCCTTGCGGCTAAGTGCATCGGCCACCACATTGTCCTTCCTCGGGTGGTAAAGGAGTTCACAATCATAATCCTTCACCACATCAAGCCACCGACGTTGCCTCATGTTCAAATTTGGCTGATCCATGAGGAACCTCAAACTCTTGTGGTCCGTGTAAATGGTACATCAAACCCCGTATAGGTAATGTCGCCAAATCTTGAGAGCGAAGGC